GGTCATGGAGAACCTTATTGGCCACAGGAAAGACTTTGGTTCTCACTCTGAGTGACATGGGAGCAGAGCTGAGGAGTGGCACAACCTGACTAGCATTTTTGAAGGAGCAATCTGGCTTCCGTGTTGAGAGCAGACTAGAGGGCAGGGGTGGGGGCAGGGAGACAAGGGGACTTATTCAGGTGAGAAGTGGTGATGGCTTGGAGCAGCAGTGAGAACGTCCCAGACCGAATATGTTCAAAGGTAGAGCCAGTAGGACTTGCCAAGTAATTAGAGCTGGTTATAAGAGAGAGAGGAGTCAGGAACACAGCCAAAGTTTTAACCTTCCAATACAAATTCCAAAACAAATACAAATTCTTTTTACTATGAGCTGGGGAAGCCTGCATGTGGAGAGGGTTTGGAGCAGAGGGACAGAGATCAGGATTGGTCATGTTAGTTCTGAGATGTTGAGCGAAGGTGTGGAACGAGGCAGTTGGACATTTGAATCTGGAACTGGGAGGTCTGTATCAGAGATATAGTTTAGAAAATCATTGGCATGTAACAGATGATATTTAAAGCCATCACCACAGGAGCGAGACGGAATAGAGAAGGGATCTGAGGACTGAGCCCGAAGGTCCAGGAGATGTGAGTACTGGGTGAAGGCAAGTAGCACAGAGTCCTGTTGCACAGGTGCAAATGGGGCTTTCCTGGAGAAACTTAGAAGCAGAGGGGCAGCACTGAATGAAGCGTTCGTGGTCCACCCAACCTCTCCTCGGTCATCACGTGGTGAGAGGTGCTGGGGTCACAGAGCACATGGAAACATCCTGGAGTGTGCTCCAGAAGAGGAACCTCACCACTGCCGCCACCACCACACAGACACACACGCACGTGCACACACACAAAATCTCACTATTCTACTTTTTTATGGGCAAGCGTGAGGTCAGTCTTGCAAGTAAAGAAAAACTGGTCTGAGCTCAGACACCAGGGGAATGGCTTGCAGTGCTGAGTCCACCTGGGGACCCTGGGAAGTGGAAGCCACGTGGAATCATTTCTGCTTTGGGGAAGGGAGCTCCCCCTGGAGCTCATTTACTATCTCATTGCTAGAACCTGGAGTGTGTCCCCAGAGTCTTCCAATACAAATTCTTTTTCCAAGATCCATCCCCCTGACCTAGGGGCTCACCAAGCATAAGCCTGCCCAGTAGGAGTAGAAATCAACAGGGGAAGAATAAAAAAACAGAGGAAGAAATCAACTGGGCCTATAATGGGACGACCACCCTTTGTGGGCAATCCTGGGGAGAGATTGTAGGAGGGAGGCCTGGAGTAATAGTGCAAAGCCCATCATGGAGGCCTGAGCCATCTGGCCAGAGTCCCTACTTTAAGAGCCCCAAGTTCAAAAGGAAGAGTAGCCTGAAGCCAGGAGACTTGCTCCTGCAGTAGCTGCCTGGGCTTTTTGACTTGCCAAAGGTGTTAACCCAGAAGCAGCAGGAGATATAGGCCAGGATGAATATTCCCCTATCTAGCCAACAAATAGTCCGAAGCTATGTGATTATCCAGCATAACCCGAGCTAAGGCATCATGATAACCTTGGCAGTGAAAACTCTGGCTGTCCGCATAGTAATTCCCTTCAGGATAGCTGAGCAGTTGTGGATCATGATTCTATCTAGTTATGGGAGCAAAACTTACATAAAATGATGAAATCTATGTACTTAGTACCCAGGAATACCTCATCAGTGGCACCAGAGGCTGGGGCTGAGGGTGTGGCCTTGCCTACAGATCTTGGATTATCATGAAGGTTCATATGCAGGTGACATGATGTCCGAGGAGAAAGCAAGGAAGGATCTGTATCCAGAGCACAAAACAGTTCTGGGAATATAAAGGGCACTGCTCGATATTCTGCTAGTGGGCCTCAACACCATCCACGCAGAAGGTGGAGGCCCAAGGCACAGCAGTTGGTGGCTGTGGCCAGCTAAGAGCAATGCTCTTGCCAATGAGGCAACAATAAAGTCTCTCATAACCGGGATTGGTGGGTGAGGGCGGGGTAGGAGACGTATGTTCAGTACTGTGATAGGTTTGTGCCATGGGCCGTGGCCTAGGCACCTGCTTGAGGCTATTCGGTCGGCACTGCCTGTCTAGATCTGGAAGAAGAGGCAAGAGGTCATTTACCCCTCCATCGTGGTCTGCTTTCTGAGATTGCCTACGTATGTTCTTGCTAGATCAGCTGGGATCTTTCGTGTGCCTGAGACAAGATGATCAGTCCTTTTCCCAGAGTACCATCTCCCATAGGAACCCAGGAGTCTCTGGTCTGCCCAACACATCAGGTGCACCCTTTGCCCTCCTAAGTGCCCACAGAGGTTGATGAGGAAGCAACTGATGTAATTGCTCCTTAAGCCAGTCATACCAAGACTCGATTGTACCCACCACCTGCAGGTGATAAGTGTGGATTCCATGTTGACAGGGCTCACAGCTGGGGGGCAGTGCTCTAAAGATAATTCCATCACCAGATTGTATCATATCACATGACGAAGGTGCTCATCAGAGCCTTAAGAGTCAGTTGGTACTTGCTTGGTGGAAGAGAATAGGCACCCCATATCCTAAACCAGGTCCATCGTGGCCCTGGACCTCCATGGCAACCAATTTGCTGATTGTGAACTGGTCAGAGCTACAGGTCATTGTGCCACACCTTGAGACACCTTGAGCCACAGGCCAACATTACTGGCAAGTAATATATACTCCGTGAGCACCAGTGACTTCATAGGTCAAATGGATCTTCACTAGGCCACCACAGACCTCCACTATAGTGGTGCCCTAGATCCATGCCTGAACCTACTACAATAGTGTTTTCCATAGTGAAAGCACTGAACCTACTACAATAGTGCTTTCACTATGGAAAGCACTATTGTAGTAGGTTCAGGCATGGATCTAGGACACCAAAGTGGATGCGATAGGCCACAGTCTTGGTCAGCTTTTCATTCCAGATGTTCTCTTCAAGATGTCATGCCTTACTACAAGTTTGTTCATATGTCACATACAGAGAAAGTTTGTGGCTGAATGGCTATGTTTCCACAGCAATGGTTACTATGTGGATATTCTCCTAATGGGCTATTTCTGGGTAGTCCAATGGCCTAATCATACAAGCAAAACCATTAGTAATGGCCTGCGAAGCTGTGGTAAAGGGACTATTTACAAAAGCGCAAGCAAGCTATAAAAAACCCACAAGGATGGTGCTGTGCCCCCGGGCTGGTAACTGGGGGGACGCTACTGCCCTGGGCCCCTTGTAGAAGGCCTAGAAGAAGGCCTTGTAGAAAGAATCTCCCTAAGAGGAGGAGTGACCCCTTGTTAAGGAGCCCAGTCAACCCTAAACCAGCCCAAGACAGCCCCACAAAAGGAAGCTGGGGGAATAAGCACCTCAACATCCTCCTTTCCTCTCATCTTCTGCCAGGGATCCCTGTCAACCAAGTTCAACTAGAAGCCACAGGGCAAAAGGATCTGATGATTCGGTCCACTCAGGTTGGCCCCCTGGCAGAAAAGGCAGGAGAAGGAAGGAGAATGGACCTGAAGGGGCAAGTAGAAGATATGTGACACCACAAGGTGGCGGGGCGGGGGGTGCGGATTTTTTAAAAGGAGGTCACAGGAGTCCTCGCTAAGAAGGAATCGTTTAAGCAAAGCTCTGAGGGGCTGCAGTGACCCATCTAACCCATGGTAATCCACAAGGTCGGCAGTGCTACTCTCCCCATTCTACAGACGAGGAAACTGAGTCCAGCAGGAGTAAATGACTCAGAGTTGTCCGAGATCACACAGCCGAGAGTTGATAGAATTGGGATTTAAAGCAAGGCAGTCAAGCTCCCGAGATCCTGCTCTTAAACAAAATAGGGTATAGGAGAGTCATCATAAAATGAGAGGGCAGAGAAAAAGTCAGGACATGTAAGACTGGGATCAACAATCACAGATATGATGTGTTGAGCACTGACCATATACTAGCCACCGTGTTAGGTGCTATGGGCGGAGGGGGGCGGTGTAAACAGATGAACAAGATACTGTGACTGCCTTCAAAGAGTCTATCATCTAGTTGGAGGGTGCGAAAGGGATATAGAAATGTGTGCAAATTAAGTATCAGCAGATTGACACCTTTCACTGTAGAACTACAGATGAAATGCTAGGAGAATGTGAAGGAAAGGCATTTGTTATAGCTGGGCTGAGGGAAGCATTGTGGTGGTGTTAGCTTTGGAATCGTGAACAGCAGAAAAGGGAAAATAAGGGATTCTAGGGGAAGAAACCATGTGAGCAGGGATGTGGGTGCATCTGGGGGATGGACAGTCATCTGGTTTGGTTAGAGTTCATGAGACTTGTGGGGCTGAGAGAGACTTGTGGGGCTGAGAGAGACTTGAGGCATCAAGTCACAGTGAGGCAGTGGTTTCCTTTCTAATTTTTATAAAGTCTCAGCTTGGTGCTAGCACTTCTTTCAAATGCTAACACTTGCTAATCTCCCTTTTTAACCCCAAATTCACAGGCTCACATCTTTCAGAGGGCAATCCAGTTCCGGTTGGAACTTAACATAATTTTTGTTTCCTGTTGTATTTTGACGGTTAAGTTCTATTTCAGGCAAATGAGGCTGTTTTTAACTTACAGATAAATTATTTATCTTCATTATCATTTTTCTTTATAGATTTAAGGAAAATAATAGTTAACTTAAAGAGACAATGTTGAGCTGAATATTCAGGTGGTTCAGGGCTACAGCAAAAATCACAAAGTTGGTACTCTAATTACTGATGTTTAGGATACCCTGGCATAGGGTATAAAGCACGTGAGGATGAGAAATGGGGGGAAAGAGAGCTGGAGAAGGGGTCAGATTAGGGAGGGCCTGAACACCACGGTAAGGATTATGGGCTTTATTCTGTCAACCACAGAGAGACGTTGGCTCAAGAACAGGCACTGAACACACTCAGTACCATGCTTGACGAGGCTTGCTCTGGCCTGAGTACAGGGTGAGGGGAGACTGGAGGCTGGAACAGCACTGAGGAGGCCATTGTAAGACTCGAGGTGAACAGATATAGCTCCCTGGACCAGGGCTGATTGAGGGGTTGAGGTGGTCCAGCTCAAAGAGAGAAAGGGCCTGGGTTCTAGAGCCCCTGTCAGGTTGTATCTAGGGTGCTATCTGGCTGACCTGGTGAATAGATTTCTTTTCCAGAGGTGACCTTTCAACCTCCAATCCTCCTCTCCAGTGTGATTTACTAAGAAAATCCAATAGTCTCTGATGGGTTTTACTGAGCAAAGGTAACATCAGAAGAGGCCAGCCCACCCCAGTCTCTCTGACCTCATTAGGGAGAATTGGAGGTGCAATCAGAGAAGATGGAGAAGATGGACTCATGCCTCCTCAGTCTGTGCTTCCTCATGGGAAAAGCCCTCCGTCCACTCGACCTCTTGTGGTGATTCATTTTATTCCATACGATGAACATCTGATTTTCTAAGACCTTCAACTTCATTTCACTGAACATAAGTCGTTCAAGGATCTTGTCCTGGAGAGCAAAGCAGGCATGAAGTCTCTCCACTTCTTTTGTATTCATGATGTTGTTATTGTTGTTGTTGGGTTTGGCTTCAGGGGTCTTTGGTTTCTCTTCCTTTTCCTAAGTTCCCCATCACCCGGAAAAGAAGAAAGTTTGGTTAATGATAACCCCTTCCCATGCTGGATGATTTATAAATATCACCTTAATCAATTCTCACAAACCAGCCTGCCAGGAGAGCATCTTGCATACATCCTGTGGGCGAGAGAATTGGGGCTCAGTGAGGGAAGGTCCCTCTCTCAGCATCACTCGGCCAATGGGAGAACAGCCACACTCCCAAAACCTACAGTTGCCTTTGGTTCACAGGAGTAAATGAAATAGTCCACTAATCTGTACTCACAGAGGACATAAAATCCTTAACCCAAATGTACCTGTGTCTCCAGAGCTTATGCTTTTCCCAGTGTGCCTGAGAATTTTGTCAGGCCCTGTGAAACAGGGGTCCCCCACCCCCCGGGCCATGAACCAGTACAGTCCACGGTCTGTTAGGAACCAGGTTACACAGCAGGAGGTGAGTGAGCAAAGCTTCATCTGTATTTGCAGCCACTCTCCAGCCCTAGCATCACTGTCTCAGCTCCACCTCAGATGATCAAGTATTAGATTCTCATAGGAGCACTGGTCCCTGGTGCCAAAAAGGTTGGGGACCACTACTGTAAAATCTCTAGCTTCCAAGTCTGTATCTCACAACTTGCTTTTATCCTTATAATCCTCATCTGCCCCCTTACCCAGTTAATAATAACACTTTTACCTCTTCTTTTTAGATTTAGCCACAACCTCCTGGTCTATAAAACCCTTTAAATAAATATTTCGGACATGCAAAAAAGTAAATATTACAACAAATACCCATGTTTCTGCACCAGTTTAAGAAATAAAACTTCACAAAGGTAAGTAATTGTGAATCCCTCTCCTAGAGTGTTCTCCGCCCTCCCTGAACCTCATCTCAACCGCAATCTTAAATTTGGTCTTTACTTTTTCCATGCATTTCTTTATAGGAGTGGTTCTCAGTGGGAGGCTCTTTTACCCTCCCAGGGGACATTTGGCAATGGCTGGAGACTTTTTTGGTTGTGAGGGGTGAGGGGGGCTATTGGCATCTCATGGGTAGAGGCCAGGGATGCTGCTAAATAGCCAACAATGCTCAGAACGGCCCCCACACAAAGAATTATCTGGCCCAAAATGTCAATCATGCAGAGGTTGAAAAATCCTGCCTTAGTATACTTTCACTATACATGTGTATTCATAAACAAAATAGGCTATTGTCTTGCATGTTTAACTTTATATGAAAGATATCATAATCTATGTATATCTCTCCTATCTTCATTATTATATTTTAGAGATGTATCTATGTTATTTATGTATCTTTAGCTCATCCATTTTCATTTTTTTTCCTTTAAATTAGTTGATACAGTTGCCAAAGCATGTTGGTATCAAACATGAAGTAGGAGAGGCTGAGGTGGTCCCGATTTTACACCTGAGGCCACTGAAGCCTTGTGAAGACCATGCTTTGTCCTCTGTCACCCAAGAGTCAGCTGCAGAGCAGGGACTTAGACCAGAGCTGTGGATTCCTCAGTCTTGAGCCATTATCCTGACATCCACCCTATCCCTCAAACCCCAATCTAGTTCTAAATACCTCATCACTCTCAGCTGAAGCTGAAGTTCCTCTGCTCACCTGCTTGGGCTCTGGGGGGGTGGGCTTGACTTCATGCTTGACCAGCCAGTTGCTAAGCAACAGCAGAAGGAATAAGAACCCAAACAAGACTGGCTTATAGCTGATCAGCCAAGCCACCAATGCTCCTATGGTGCCTGAGGAATCAAGTATCCCCTGGAGATTCCTAAAAAGAGACATTAGTTCTCCCATTATGGCTTGGTGGCACCCAGGCCCCAAGACCCAACATCAGTCCCCCCTCTAGGACAGTTGCCTCCATAACAGGAGTCATGGCTGCCCCTTCCTCTGAGTTATGACCAGCCCGCAACCCCTAGCTGCCGCATAACAATAATATTAACTACTCCTATGTCTTAAGCAGCCACTATGTGCCAGACTTTGACAGGCAGTTTGCAAGCATCATCTCATGATTTCCTCATAACAGCCAGGTGATGTAGGCCTTAGTGATACCTTGCTCATTCAACAGTACTTCTGGGCCTAGCCGCTGAGAATAAAATAGACAGCAATACAGAGCCTTTACCTCATAGTAAAGAAGACTGCAAAGAAGAATTATTCATAATTTGGAAATAAGGTAAAAAGATTACTACAAACTCATCAACAGTTATACTAGAATATTATTAAACTGGCCTACCTGTTGGTCACCTGATGTTTTAGGGGAAGGTAACTTTGTTTGACTTACTATTTAATATTGATTAGGGGTCCGCTCTGTAGCCAGATGTTAACTTTTAAAAAAGCTGCTCTAGCAATTCTGGATATAGATTACTGAATATATTTCCCAAAGAGCTGAAAGCAGGGTATTTTTTTTTTTTTTTTAGCAAGACAACCCTTGGTTGACCTCACAGATTGCAAGGACCTTGTCAGGTTACAATCCCTTATTTTTTTTTTATGCCTACAGCACCTGGTCTTCCTACGTGGTCTCCCATCCAAGCCTGACTCTGCTTAGCTTCCGAAATCAGATGTGATTGAGCAGGCCTGACTCTGCTTAGCTTCCGAAATCAGATGGGATTGAGCATGTTCAGGGTGGCATGGCCATAGACTTGAAAGTAGGGTCTTGAAGAGATATTTGTACACTCATGTTCATAGCGGCATTATTTACAATAGCCAAAAGATGGAAGTAACTCAAAAATCCATCAACAGATGGATAAGCAAAATGGTGTATATACATACACTGAAATATTATTTAGCCTTAAAAGGGAGGAAATTCTAATACACGCTACAACATAGATGAACTTTGAGGATAATAAGTGAAATAAGCCAGATATAAAAGGACAAATACTGCATGATTCCACTTATTTGAGGTACTTAGAGTTGTTAGATTCATAGAGACAGAAAGTAGAATGGTGGTTGCCAGGGGCTGAAAAGAGGTCTGGAGTTTGCACAACTATGTGAATGTACTTAACACTAGTGAACTGTACATTTAAAAATGCTTAAGATGGTAAATTTTATGTTATGTATTTTACCACAATTTAACAAAATTAGTTATAGGCCTATTTGATTTTATTGTGGTTCGCTTTATTGTGCTTCACAGGTGTTGCATTTTTTACAAATTGAAGCCAAGATCCTCTACCAGCAAAAAGATTATGACTGGATTTATTGTGATACTTGCTTTATTACAGTGGTCTGGGACCAAAACTGTAATACCTCCAAGGTATATCTGCATTTCTGAAAAAAAAGTGGGTAAGTTGCAAATGATTTTTTTGGGAGGGTAAGTAGATGCAAATTAGTTCTGATAGAAAAGATAACCCCCAATGTTTACAATTTTATGGCCTCACATAACATTAACTATTTTTTCTTATTTAACTTTGCAATCTTACTCCAGCATTCTGTTTTCCACTGAGCAATGACTATATATATGTTTTTCATATTCTCCTTTGAACAAACTTTATCATACTGCTGGTTCTCTCCATTGTGAATTAAGTAACTCTTTGATATATGTTCACTATTTTGTATAGAGTTCTTTTGATCAAATATCAATTTTAATGGCTATGACATTCTAATATATTCAACTAGTCACCTTTTTGGCCTTTAGGTTAGTTCTCCTTCATTGTTATTATATATAACCTGAGATAAACAACATTGAAGTTGAATCTTTGTATACATAAATATTCCAGACAATGTTTTCCTGAAAGTGAAATTGCTGGGTCAAAAGATATGTATATTTTAAAAATCAATTTTAAGTTTTATCAAATCATTATATGTGCAAACAAGACAAACAGAACTACAGGGTGTAAAACGAACAAGCTTCCATCTCCTGTCTCACCGCTTCCTGCCCTCAAATTCTATTACTCAGAGAAACAATTTCTATGTTTCTTCTGGTATTTATTAAGCAAATATAAAAATAATATGCTTATGCTGTTATTTCTTGATTTCTCAATTTCGACATTAAATATTATCCCTTAATGATGGAAGATGAGGATTTAGCTCCCATGCAGAGCCTCTCCTTCCATAAATCATTCTCATCCTCTCCTCCTCTTCCTCCACAAACTTGCTCTTTTCTCCACTTTCGACATAATTCTATCACTTTGGATAAAACAATATTGTTTGTTATGCCAGTGTAGCTCACAGCTGAGCCATATATAGTACTATGATTACACTTTCTTTTTTGCAGTTTCTAGTTTTCCTGGACTTAATTGCCTCTTTTTTGTTGTTTAGATCAATTTCATAGAGGTACAATAGACGCGAAAAAAAATATACCTATTTACTTGTACAGTTCAATGAGTTTTGACTAATGTATATACCACCCCAATCAAGATATAAAACATTTCCATCACCCCTGGCAAGTTCTCTCCTGCTCTTTTGCAGTCGACCCCCACTTTTCAATCCCAGGTTGGATTCTATCACTAGAGATTAGGTTTACCAGTTCTTGGACTTCACGTAAATGGAATCGTTTTTGGAAAATTATGCTGCAAAGAGACAGACATGTAAAAAAGCAATTATACTTCTCTCTGTAGAAATCAGCTTGAAGAACACAAGGCCTGTTCCTGTGCTGAGGCAGTGAAGGATTCCTGGAAGAATTAAAGAATAAACCACCACTACTATCTGCAGCATTAGAAAGAATAACCGTGTTGTAGAAACAAGCGTTCTGTGGGGGGTCGGGGGGGGCGGAGGGGAGCATAGAGAATGGAAGAAGGTGCAGATGAGGAGGCATAAACAAAGCCTTGGAGGCAAGAGCAATCCCGTTGGGCTCAAACCTGGAGATCCTAACGTCTATCCAATTTATTACTACGAAACTTGTTTGCTAATATTTCCCCAGTACGAGCAGGGCACATATGAATAAGATCTACCAATTACATTTTAGTGTTTTCCCCTCCCTACACTGTACACTCTTTGAAAGCAAGAACTTCGTAATTAAACCCTGTTACCTAGTAAGCATTAATAAATATTGACTGAACTGGCGAATGAGTGGATAAATGAATGAGTGAAAGAATAGATAAATGCATTCAAGCCCCTGACTGGAAATGATCAGCCTCGGCGCTGCAGTCTGGCCCAGAAGCCCTAGGCCCGGGATAGTGCTGGGGCCAACTCTAAAGGTTAAAGAGACGCTCTAGGAAAGCATCGCGCTCTTCGCCATGGTGCCGCTCTAGCCTCGAAGACTCCGCTCTATGGCAATGGGAGGGGGCGGGGCCGTGGGCGTCTCAGGTTTTTTGTCCGGACCCGACGGGAGCGCGCCTAGCGCGTGCGTACGCGACGGCGGTTGGCAGCGCGCGGACTGTGTGAAGTGAAGCGAGGTGACGCGGCTCCGAACTCACGCATCTACCGACTGAGCGGCTCATAGTCCGTCAGCAGCCAGGCGCCCCGAAATGTTGTCTGGAAAGAAGGCGGCCGCAGCTGCGGCTGCAGCGGCGGCGGCGGGGTCGGAGACCGGCGCTGGAGCAGCAGCCGGCGCTGAGAACGGCTCAGAGGTGGCCCCGGCGCCCGCGGGCCTGTCGGGCCCTGCAGAGGCCGGGCCGGGGGCGGTGGGGGAGCGCACTCCCCGCAAGAAGGAGCCTCCGCGGGCCTCGCCCCCCGGGGGCCTGGCCGAGCCGCCAGGGTCCGCCGGGCCTCAAGCTGGGCCTACCGTCTTGCCTGGATCTGCGACCCCCATGGAAACCGGAATCGCAGAGACTCCGGAGGGGCGACGGACCAGCCGGCGCAAGCGGGCGAAGGTGAGGCCCGACCCCCTCCCGCAAACCACAAATCCCAGTGCCTTTGCTCTCCAGAGGTGATTCCCCCCGCCGCCCCGGACTTGGGCCTTGAGCCCCACGCCCACCCCAGACCTCCCTAGTCAGTCGCTCTCCACCCCACTAGCTGGATGGGTGGGGTGAGGGGAAGGTCTTTGCCAGTGTCGAATGCGGTCTTTGTGCGGGGACCGACCGTACTGAGAAAGGGAGGGCTATTTTACTCATTATATTTTGTACACCTTTTCATTTTCTCGACTGGAAAAAATGGCTCCCTGACGTGGAGTTACAGATGGCGTCGTTGGAGACATACATCACTTGTTTGTCCCCAGATGTGTCTGGAAGCTGCTCAGCAGTATTTATGGAGTTTTACCTGGGAGCACATTGGAGCTGTAGGATCGATGCTAAAGAAATTGCCTTAGCCAGGGAGACCGAAATAAGGAGCAGTTTTTCGAGTCTTTGCTGTGTGCAAAGATTTTTCCTCTTTTTTTAATCCTCTCGATCTTTTGACGGAAATTTTTACAGGTGAAGCTGACTAAGAGGGTTAATATCAATTAGTGTGCACATATATGGGAAGAAAAAGATTTGTCACGGGGAAGTATATACAGACAATAGCTGCCTCACTTCTCGGGTGCCAGATGCTGTGTTCAGAGCATAATAAACGTTTTATTTTTGCTAAACACCAACGAGCAGGTATTGTTAGCTCCATTTTAGGAATGAGTAAACTGAGGCACACTATTTAAGCAACCTGCCCATAGTCACACAGCTAAGAAAGTGGTGGAACTGGAATGTAAGCCCTACACTTACGTTGTGGTGAAGTATCATCAGCCTCTGAAACAAAGGACCACATGGGACACCTAGTCCATAGGGTACTGGGGCAGTACTAGGGCACAGATTTTACACTTGGGCATTTTCTTGAGATTTCATGGTTCAGTTGAAAAACGGAATATATGTACATATAGTTTTAAATAAGTAAATATTTAAAATCATGCATTTATGTAATTTGTTTATATAACAAGTTTTCTACCTGTATATAAT